GGCGAATAAACACATGAATAGACTTAAATTATTGACTCCAATACTACATGAAATTAATATAAATATATATTTGGACCAAACATTTGCATTTAAACCACTGATCTCTCCGTGAATTTTATCGGATAATTTCATACTTGTTTTCAATTCAAATAATTTGAAATTTTTAAGTTTTGCGTTCAGACATTGTATCTTAAGTTTCAAATAGAAACCAATGATATAAAAGTATATCATTTGATGGATTACATGAATACCCATATAATATGTGACAAATATATTCAACATAAGCCACGGAATGGCAAATATGATAAAATCCATGACATTTGAGGTTCTCATGAGATACGGTATGAATGCAATTATAAGAGTAAGTGGAAAACTATTTATCATTTGTGATGACATTTTGAACAATAGTTTCGCTCTTTTCAGCAATAATTTAACAGATCTTTCGTCTGTTAGACCAATACTGACCGGCGATGACATACCGGACATCATTTTAAACGAGTTCAAAAACACTGGTTTTGACATCTTATTATAATCCATATAATGAGCCAATTGTGAGCTTAATATCACAGTAACAGCTAATAAGCGAAAAAGGTTGATGTGATATTTGGCACCAAAAAAGTGGCCCCAATCGCCGTACATATAGTNACCAAAAAAGTGGCCCCAATCGCCGTACATATAGTTTAGTCGGTCATCGCTTTCGTCTAAAATTAGTGAAATCAAATCACGTGACCAAAGGATTAGACTTAATGTACGGATTAGTATTGGATTATGAATTATAGACCGCTTTTTAGTGCCGTATTTGAACGAAGAAATACCATATCTGTACAGATGTGTTCCCGCCGTCGGTATTGTTTCCGATTGCGGCAAACGTTTTGCTATATTTATGGCTTTCATTGTATTAAATAATTTAAATTACAATTGCTTTTTGTTTAACCGATAACTTTTGAGTGAATAAACAAATATTTTATTTATTTTAAACCATTATTAGGAAACAATTTTATTCAAAAAATAAATCTATTAAAATATAATTACGGTATAATTTAATAATTATATTATTTTTGGTCGTAAATAAATTAAGCTTATTTTATACAAATATTTTAAAGTAAGCGTAGGATTTGATCATTAAGTAATAATTATGGTTAATGTAAAGACATTTTTATTTACATCTTAAAGACATCTTTATAATACATTTTTATTTATTATTGCATTTAATAAATTTAATTATTGTTTTAATGATACAATGAATACAAATATTGTAAAAATTGTGTAAACATTTGCTAATTAATATGACGACCACTTTCTAGAAATAAGGTTATCTAATATTTTAGTATAAATAATACATATTGTAAATTATTTAAAGTCAAGTGAAGGTCAATATGGGGGGGGGGGGGGTAGTTACATTTACTACCATTAAAAATATGTAACTCCCGATCTCATATTATAAAGTGCAACCTCTCATTAAGGTACTTCTAGTTGCACAACAAAAGTGTTTCCTATAAAGAGGGTTTCTCCAAAGGGAAGTTCTGTTATATGTACAGTGAACATTCCATATAGTAAAGCTCTATACAGTGTTATTTCCATATAGTGAGCAAAATATTTTAGTTTGGCGGACACTGTATACTTGTAATGTTATTTCCGCTCCATATAGTGACTTTCTATACAGTGTAAATTCTATATAGTGGCCAAAATTCTGTTATTTTTGGCTATTATTTACCATTTTTACGCTTTGTATAGTGTTTTATGATATGAGACAACTATTTTTTGTCTTGCAATTGTTTGAAATGAGAAAGTTTTATTTAAATTAATAAACAATATGAAATTATTATCTTGAAAACATTAAACAATCTAGTTAAATGATTATTTTAGTATTAACAGTATATACACTTATTGTCACTACTATTACACATACATTCTATAGAGTGAACATTCTATACAGTGTTCAAAAATGTATTCCAACTGCTCGACCACTATATGGAATGTTTACTGTATAGAAAATCCGAAATGAATTTAAATGCGTTCCATAATGGGAGGTGTGTTCCCCCAAAAGAAGTTGTCCCAAGAGAGGTTCCACTGTATTATATTTTACTGCATATCCATAATATTTGCATTTATTATTCAATTATAATGTATTAATTATTTAATTATAATTAGCATATACAGCAAAATAACTTTATATAGCAAATATATTTTTTGTGTAAAATAATGACTTAAACAATAATTAAATAAATAATTTGAATATGGCTTTTGGTAATGGTTTTGAGAGATCTATGGCTTTCATTGTATGAATTAATATGAATTACAATAGACTTTCTCTCAACAGACAACGCCTGATATAGTGTAGACGTGATGTAGTGATGTTGTAAAGTTTTATAAATATTATCAATTTCACCCAGTTTCATGATAATTATTAATGACACTCGCTTAATTATCTTATGTAATTGTTTTTTAAATTACCTTAACCAATTCACACAATTTAAAACAATAATTAATATAAAAGCACAAATGAATAATATACCGATTATTGACTGAATCGTAGAAATGTTATAAAAATTCCTATTATAATTTTAGAGATTTTTTATATTATATTTTCTATTATAATAACTGATAATATTGCTCAAACAACAGTAATTTATTATTTATAAGCAAATTATATTTAAAATTAAATGTAATATCTATATCTTTATGTAGATACCATAAATATCAGCTAGTGCCTTTATGTTTTATTAAGTTATTTTTATATATTTTATATTATTATTACTATGAGTGTAAATCCTGTTGTGATTCATATTGTACAACTGTATATTTAAGCACATGATAATTACTATTAAGTTTTAATATTAATAGCTGGTTTTAATGGTTTTCATTCATTTTTACAATTTTCATCGAAGTATTCAAAACAAGTTATATTATGACAAAAATACAAAATATATTTATATTTACAGAAATTGTTAACCAAAAACTTATTAAAATAAATTATATAATTAAGAACCAATTATATATTTTAATTAGCATGTTTTGAATTTGATAAATTATATAGTATTTATAATTGTAATAAAAATGTGTGATTTTTTAGAAAAGTTTACATCGTGCGATAAAATTAAGAAAACTATAAGATTTAATATTTCAAAACTACATGTGTTTTATGATATTTATGAAAGACATAACGTATTACTCGTTAAAAACAATGATATTGTCTATGGTTTGGGCAGTAATTTCATGGGTTGTCTGGGTTTGGGACACAATAGTCGTATAAAATCACCAAAAATAATACCACAATTATGCCATCAAAACATACAATACTTTGTCAATGGATTGGACTTTGTGTTAGCAGTAAATGGCATGAATATGGTATATGGATTTGGTCATAATAGTTATGGACAATTGGCGCAGGGTAAAAGAAATAATGACCGTGATTTTTTCAAACCAATGATAATATCGCATTTAAATAACAAAAATATCGTTCAAATCAGTTGTGGTTCATTTCACACACTTGTATTGACTAGTGATGGCCAGGTCTACGCCTGGGGTGACAATAGTTGCGCACAAATTGGTTGTAAAAATAATAATCAATATATTTGTACACCAATTGAGATAAAATTTAATAATAATTATAAAATACAATCCGTTTATTGTTATAAAAACTCTTCGTTTGCCATCACATCCGACGGACATGTCTTCAGTTGGGGACTGAATAGAGAGAATAATTTGGGACAAAATATAATCGATTACATGGTATTTAAACCCCGATTGATATTAAACATAAATAATGTCAAAACAATGAATTGTAGTTATTTTGGAACATATTTTCTGACAACAAATGGTTTATATTTTTGCGGAAAACGTTTTGAAAACAAAAAATTAATGATTGAAAAAACTCCGAAACAAATACTATTCAAACATAATATCGAAAAATTACAACAAATTAATTCGTGGATCGATTCGATTAACCATAAATTCATTTGTGTTTTAATAAACAATAAAATATTAAAAATATCAAACGAACATAAATTATGTGAAACAAATTATAGTAATTTTATTGACTTTTACGCAAATGAATACCAAATAACTTATGATACAATTAATTTAAAACAAATAATTTTAATGCCAACTGAAAATATAAATAGTAATATTTTAAACGACAAGTTAAGTAATGGTAACAATAGAAGAAAATTTGTAAAATTATTACAACTATTTGGGATTTATAGAAAAAGCAAAGATTTCAATCAAATAAATGGTAATATTATTGCACTTTTATACCAAATATTTAACATTATTATTAAAATATTATTAATTTATAAATATTTTTTATTGTATTTTGATGATAAGATAAACAGGCAGTTTGTACAAAATCTAAAATTATTGAACAACAACCAATGCCTGTTTTAGGGAGCACGGATTACTCAAACCAAGGTGATTTAGTTGTAATTAAAAAAATTTTAAAAATATTTTAGTTATTATTTTTGAACAAGTATATTATTTTTAATTTGATTATTTTAATAGATACAAACGAAGGTATTATTTCAACAGTAACTAACATAAAGATAAATGATGGTAATTATAACAGCCTATTTATTGAGATGTCAGCCATAGGGTCGGGTGGTTTTGGAACTGTATTTAAAGTAAAGCATAGATTGGATGATAAGATATATGCCGTTAAAAGAATACAATTTGGGGGTAAATATATATTATTTGTTTAATTAAATTACGAAATTTTAAAACAAATATTTAATAAACATTTCACAGAATTTAGTGAAGAAAAGAAGCAAAAGGTTATAAAAGAAGTAAAGAGTTTGGCAAAACTGGACTCAGATTTTGTGGTGAAATATTACAACTCATGGCTTGAGTCCAATCATCTCTTCATTCAAATGGAATACTGTTCGCAAAGTCTTCGGTCTCTTCTGGAAAACAAACCGCTTGTCTTCGAGAGACAACCGGAAGACCCGATGAATGTCTTTGAATATTTCATTTCATGTGAGATATTCAAAGAGCTCTTAGAAAGCGTACAATTTCTTCACGAAAGTAATCCGCCTGTTATTCATCGGGATCTCAAACCTGATAATATATTAATTGACCGCAACTTTATATCCAATCGATTCGTAAAACTATGTGACTTTGGTTTGGCCACCGATCATAACACCGACATACAGACTACCATTCGCTACCAGCACTCGTCAGGTGTGGGCACTATTAAGTATATGTCACCCGAAATTACTCAGGGTAAAAATTATAATCACAAAACAGATATTTATAGTCTTTCGTTAATCGGCGAACTAATCTTCGACATCAATCTTCAAGCGTAAGTATATTTGTTTGTGTCAAATAATACGAGTACAACCCGTCACAAATCCTGTTACCCACACCCACCCCTCTATGTGCTTCAAATGCATATTGTAAGGCCCAGACCCCTTATAAATGTAACGTTGAGATAACATACTGCCGGTTAATGTACACAATCAATTTATATCAATTTAAAGGTCGCAAACATTTGATGCTAAAAAATCGGTATTCAGAACATCAATACTATATCTATACCAGACATTAGTGTCAATGATGTCAACACCCAATTGGCGACAAAGACCTGAGTGTCGGCAAGTGTTGGCCAAATATAACAAGTGGTCTATCCATAAGACTGTTGTCACGAATCGTAAAGAATTCAAATCAGTGTTAAATAAACTTAAATCTATGGAAAATGAAGTTTACTCTGAAATTTTATTTCGCAAAACCATATAATTTATCACTATTTATGATTACTTAAATTATGTTAAATGCATTAATTGTAATTAGCATATAAATATATAGTGTATAACAAAATAAATTGTTGTGTAAAATAAAGAATAAAACAATAATTACATAAATAATCAGAATATGGTATTAAATAATGAGTTTTATTATATTTTATTGTCAAATCATATTATGTGATGTTTTGATAGATAGAAACGTCAATAATTTTTAGCATAAAAACAATTACAATGACCAAGATCTGTAAAATTAATATTTATTTTAAACTAAATTTAATTTTAATAAAATAATTAATTACCTCGTAAAAGTTGCGATAGTTTATAATAAAAAATTTATAACAATAAAAACCAATATTATTTTTGCTCATTTTCTCGGCCATTAAAATAATCTGCAATTGTATAACAACTTAATAAAATTAAAAGTACATTACATTTGAATTATCAAGTTAATTTTATTTACACTGAATGTTACAAACCTTAAGCTTGAATTTTTGTACAATTAACCGTTTTGTGTATAAAATTTTTATATATAATTTATACGTTTTGTTTATCTGGTAATTAATGTCCGAACATGTGATTAGTATAACGATTAAAATTACTGACCAATCAATCGATACAATAAACGATACAATTTTCATGAAAATATTAATGTCGGCGAATAAAAACGTAAATAGACTAAAATTATTGACACAAATATTACAACAAATAATTATAAATATATATTTGGACCAAACATTTGCGTTCAAACCACTGATCTCCCCGTGAATTGAATTCATTGAAAATATGATTGTTTTAATTGTTAGTAAACTAATCATTAGTTTTGAATCCAATTGGCTTTTAAGCGTTGCGTTCAGACACTGTATCTTAAGTTTCAAATACACACCAATGATATAAAAGTATAGCATTTGATGGATTACATGAATACCCATATAATAAGCAACAATTGAATTCAACATAAGCCACGGAATGGCGAATATGATAAAATCCAGGACATATGAGGTACTCATGAGATACGGTATGAATACAATTATAAGACAAAGTGGAAAACTATTTACCATTTGTGATGACATTTTGAACAATAGTTTCGCTCTTTTCAGCAATTGTTTAACACATTCTTCGTCTGTGAGACCAATACTGACCGGCGATGACATACCGGACAGCATTTTAAATGAGTTCAAAAACACTGGTTTAGTCATCTTATTATAATCCATATAATGAGCCAATTGTGAGCTTAATATAACACTAACAGCTAATAAATGCAATAGATTTACGTGATATTTGGCACCAAAAAAGTGGCCCCAATCGCCGTACATATAGTTTAGTCGGTCATCGCTTTCTTTTAAAATCAGTGAACTCAGGTCACGTGACCAAATGATTAGACTTAATGTACGGATTAGTATTGGATTATGAATTATAGATCGCTTTTTAGTTCCGTATTTGAACGAAGAAATACCATATCTGTAGAGATGTGTTCCCGCCGTCGGTATTGTTTCCGATTGTGGCAAACGTTTTGCTATATTTATGGCTTTCATTGTATTAAATAATGTGAATTACAAATGTTTTAAAATTGAATGATAACTTTTGATGAATGACAAATTATTTGCTATGTTTTAAATAAAGCATTATTGAGAAATAATAACTTTATTCTATAAATAACTTATTGATAATAGTATGTCAGTATTCAATCGTGATATTATTTTTATTTTATAATTAAATTAAGCTTATTCTTAAAAAATATATTACATTAATCGTAGGATTTGATCATTAAATAATAATTATAGACAGTGTGTGCATGGTATATTTGCATTTATTATTGCACATAATAACTGTTGTCATCATTATTATGAACGAAAATATATTTATTACTATTTTTTATATTTTTATAAACTGTAATCAAATAATTAATGCAAATATTAGAGTGTTATATACAAAAATGTAGATCTATTTGTTGGCCCATGGCTGACTCATGTCACTATTACCTTAATAATTTTTATTTAAATTAAACATTCTTTTATTCATTCATCAATTTGATTTAATTATTAATGCCAATAAATTGCACTTTAATTTATATGTAATATTTAATTATAATTGTATTTATGAAATGAGCTCAACTACACTGATCAATTATAATTCTGACTCGTGAATGACATTAATCACATTTATTACTGTACTGTTTATTATACAAATAGGATATGATTATGTTACAGATAATAATTTTTAAATATTGTAGTATTTATTTTTATACAATATTTATTTTTATACAATATGGATAAATTAATATGTAATTTATTTTTAATAATGAATTTAAAATATAAATGAAAAACATTAATTACATATTTGCGAATTTTTAACCATATAGATTTTAAAATCTTAATAAAACAGTGGAGAACTAGGTTGTTTTACTTTGGTAGATCGAGATCTCAATTATTTTTAACATAAAAACAATTGAAACAATAAAAATCTAAAAGAAATTAAAAATAGATTTAAATGTAATTAATTTTAAAATTATTAGTTATTATTTACTTCATAAAAGTGTCGATAATTAATAATAAAAAATTTATAGCAATAAAAACCAATTTTCTTATCACTTAATTTCTCGACCATTGAAAGAATCTATAAATAAAAAAACTTAATTTCAAAATTAAAGTTGAATTATAATAGAATTTACCTTAATTTTAATTACAGGTATAGGTATCTGCTTTTTGTATAAAATTTTAAAAAATAATTTATACGATGTGTTTATCCGTGAATTAATATCGGATGCAGTAATGAGTATAATAATCAAAATATGTGACCAAAGCATCGATATATAGATAAACATGATTTTCATAAATACATTAATGTCGGCGAATAAACACGTAAATAGACTTAAATTATTGACACCAATATTACAACCAATTAATATTAAAATATATTTGGACCAAACATTTGCGTTCAAACCACTAATCTCTTTATGAATTGCATTTGAAGAGAATATAATAGATTTCATTTCATTTAAATCTAATTTTCTCATTGAATTCAATTGACTCCTAAGCCGTGCGTTCAGACACTGTATCTTGAGTTTCAAATACAGACCAATGATATAAAAGTATACCATTTGATGGATTACGTGAATACCCAGATAATAGATAACAATTATATTCAATGCATACCACGGAATGCCAAAGAAGACAATATCAAAGACATCTGTGGTATTTATGAGATATGAAAACATCATAAATGTTTGACAAATTGGGAAAGTGTTGACTACTTTTGTTGACAAATTAAACAATAGTTTCGCTCTTTTCATCAAATGTTTGACACATTCTTCATCTGTGAGACCAATACTGACCGGCGATGACATACCGGACATCATATCAAACGGATTTAAATGGAGAGATTTAGACAGATTATTACAATCCATATAATGAGCCAATTGTGAGCTTAATATCAAACTAATAGCAATGATATCAAATAAATTTAGATGATATCTGGCGTCCATAAAGTGAGTCCAATCGCCGTATATATAGTTTACTCTGTCGTCGCTTTCATCAAAATTTAGTAAAACTAAATTTCGTAACCAAAGGATTAGACTTAATGTACGGATTAGGATTGGATTATGAATTATTGACAGCTTTTTAGTGCCGTATTTGAACGAAGAAATACCATATCTGTAGAGATGTGTTCCCGCCGTTGGGATTGATATGGATTTTGGTAATGGTTTTGATAGATCTAAGGCTTTCATTGTATTAATTATGAATTACAATAGACTTTCGCTCAACAAACAACTTATGATAAGAAACAAAAAAAATCTGATATACTGTACATCATATACACAAGTGATATATTTTTATTATTTTAGTTCAATATTGCAAAATTATATCAATAATAATAAGCCACAAATAAACTAATAAAAAATGATATTTTTATTTATTTCACAAATAATGAGATTTTTTGCTTTTAAATAAATATATTTTTCATTATTATTTTAATTTAATTATGGTTATCACGATGATATAAAAATTAAATAATTACATGTTAATTATTATTTAACATTATTATAGTGTTTCATATTCTTGTCCCAAATAGAACGGGAATAATAATTTAATTGTAAAAACCAATTTTGTTGACATCAATGAACTATTCTTATAGTGAAATATCGATGATTTTAAGCATAAATACAACAGAAATGATGAAAATCTGTGAATAAAACAAAAATATAATTATTTATTTAAAGCATTCGTTTAATTGCTTACTTCATAAACGTGTCGATAGTTTATAATAAAAAATTTAAAACAATAAAAACCAATTTTCTTTGCACTTAATTTCTCCACAAATGACAAAATCTAAATTAAAAACAATTATAATTAATTATTATTATTATAACTAAATCAAAACCTAATCATACCTTTAATTTAATATGTAATGACATTAATGAGTTGGTGTATAACTGCTTGACATATAGTTTATAGGTTTGATTTGTTTGGTAATTAAGAGCCGAAGCACTCATTAATATAAAAATTAAAATCAAAGACCAGAGGATAGAGATGTAGAAGAATATGAATTTTAAAAACCATCCGATATTAGCAAACAATACGGCAAATAAACTCAAATTATTGACAGTAATAATAGTGGCGATGAATATACAGATAAATTTCGACCAAACATTACCATTAAATTCATAGATTTCTTTATGCAATAAGTTTGCAAAATAAAGTGATTTTCTCAAAACATTGTCATTTAAGTTACCCTTTCTATCAGATATGCAGACATTTAAATGTTTGGTTTTTAGCCGTAAATACAAACAAATTAAATAAAAATAAACCGTTTGATAGATAACATGAATTCCCATATAATACACAACAAATAAATTAAATACAAACCACGGAATCGCTACAAAAATAATTTCCAGTACATTATTTGCATTAAAAATAAGTTGTGAATAAAGTATAGTCCCAACGATTGGAAACGTTATCAACACTTTGGCCGATATATTGAAAATTAAATTTGTTTTATTTATTAAATACTTAATGTCTGAGACATCTAATAGACCGACACTTTGAGGCGATGACAGGCCGGACATCATATCAAATGGTCTCATAAACGTGGGTTTGTTTCCCATTAAATAATGATAATAATGGGCTAATTGTGACAATAATATCAAACAAATGCCAATCAATTGAAATATAGAGAGATGAATACCGGGGGTTAAATAATAGGTCCAATCGCCGAGCATTAGTGAATTGCGGCCATTTCTGTCCGCCAAAAATATGACAATTATATATCTGATCCCAAAAATTAAACTCGTGGTAAAAACAATGAACGGGTGATGTATTGGCGAGCGTTTGTTCCGTCCATATCTATACAAAGAGACGCCATATCTGTACAGATGAGTGCCCGCGGAGGAGATAATGAGCTCTTGTGGTAAAGTTTTTGATAATTTAATTTTGTTCATTGTTTGGCTTTTCTATGGATTTAATCACTAATAGAAAAATGCTGTTATCTATAGAAGTAAATCAAATGCACTGTTATTTAAAAAGTTTTCTTAACAAATAATTGATGTGTATTTACAAACATATGGTTTTTGCTGTCGGTTTGCATTGAAAACAAGAATTTTATACGAAATAACTTATTTTTGATAAACAATAAATAAATATAAAGTGCAATAATGACAGAATATTTATACAATTGTACTAAAGTAACATTAATTAATTAATACTGCTTGGTCTCATCGCACTCTTAATAAATAAATTGTATTTAATTGTATTTATTTATAAAATAAACTATGCAACATCTATTCATAGAAAAATTTCAGCCATGCAAACCAAAGTATCATAATACACGCAGACATTAATAATATTAACAATATAATTGTCCATTGTGGTAAAAATAGTTACATTACCAATAAATATAGCAGTATTATATAACCCTAGTATGGACAATACAGATATAAATATAAATGTTTATATAAATCTATTGTATATAAATCTAAATCTAAAGAAGGCAGAATTAAAATATTATTCTTTTAATAATCTAAAATAGACAAATTAGCTTGTTAAAAATTATAAATTAAAACAATTTGCATATAAAATGCAACAGGCTAATTTTATTTATGAAAATTTAAATATTTAACAATTTGATTAATGAATGAAAATTTTAACACAATTATAAAAATAATTTCGGATGCAAACAATAATAACGACAAGACAGCACCGATGAGATACACGTAAAAGAAATATATGAACTGGGACATATTTAGTGGACGAGACTCATTATCACATTCTATCACATTGTTTTCAAAGTGATCCATGTCTTTGCCGAAGACCTTGATGTAAAACTTTCTCTTCCAGTGGTCTATCAATCCAGACGTCAATATATGAAAAATACTATCAAAACAAATAACAAATTTTGCATTAATTTATAAAAATTTATTTATAAAACTAAAAATAAATTAATTCAAACTTTTACTTACAATTCATTGATTTGGGTTTTATATGGAAACTGTTTATTCATAGGAATGGCTATAAAATTCAACGTAAATATTGAGTCCATAGTATTGTCGGGAAGAGTATAGTGGCGGACATCGTATCGATGCAATGAATAGCACAGCAACTCTTTGGCCAACACAAAGGCATAGGGCTGTTGTGATGTCTGCAATAAAAACATTGCCGTCTGATAGTTGGCCACTGAATCCATGGCGCGGCCAATCTCTTGCACTACACCGGAATCCGATTGCTATTAATTGAACAATAATTTAATTAAATAAATATTTATAAAATATCATAAAATAAAATTTTTAATTTACCTTAATCATTTCGTAATAAATGCCACCCTTTACCCCAATAATATTAATTTTGCCATTGCGTTGGGCTATATTTAAATCATCTAGCGTATCGATACGCCCGGACTCTACAGGTCGGGCCATATTTGAGTAAAACACACCGCCGTAACCGGCGGTCAGCACAACGCCGCCCAATATCCAGGCGCACAGCCATAACCTTAGGTACGGCTTAATATCGTGCGTTTGTTTCACCAAAATTGTTACCATAATCCAAAATACGTGACATTTACCGCGAATGGACATAATATACAGGAATATAAACAGCATAATTATATTGAGATACAAATAGATCCAGGTGAATCGGTCAAAGGGTTCCCATAAAGTTACGTGATTGGGCCGTATGGTGGGCGCCGGGTATGTAAATGTGACCGAATCGATAAAGTATGGGTAACTAAATGGCACCGCCTCTGCCCTCTCGCTCAACATAAACATGTTAAATATGCCAAAATCCGCCTCCTATGATATAACCGTAATAAATTAATTTAAATTATCATAAATCTATATTAATTATTACCTGGGATACAAGTTTACCAATGAGTCCACTCCACGTATTATTCGGGTATTTAATGCCAAAATCAAAGCGACAATCGATGAGATCGTACGTGAAATTCATATAATGACTTAATGTATGCAAAAGCGGTGTTTCTGTGCCATCAATTACACCATTGGATGGAAAGACAAATGGAGGTAACTTTAAGATAATGGCTGTCATAATTATAGTTATTGTTAATTATGTTTGAGTTGCAAATAAATCTTACATAGTTTGTTAAAACGGTTAGTTGTTTGCCATTTAGGTCCAACATTTTAACTAGCTAAACAATTGTTATTGCAATTAATTAAGAAAGTATTTGCTACTGTCAATAACAACAAACACGATCAATTAAAGTACATTTTATATTCATATATAACTCTTATATTTTGTATAAATTGTGAAATAATGTCAAAACATGTTTATGTGGTATTATTTGTTGTTTATAAGTTATAACAAGTGCTAATAATTGACATTTGGTGGATGAAAATGTAAATAATTAATAAAATAAATGCTGTATTATAATCAATAAAAGTTACCATTATGATATAACCAATTAATACTTCAATCAGACAATGGTTTCATAAATATTTAATGATATATTAAATGATTTAACCATAAAATACATAACAAGTGTTACAAATGTACTGTACTTATACAGTATTCTTGTACTGTAATTATATCACAAATAATAAAACAATGAAATAAGTTTTTACCCATTGTTTTGTTCAATAAGTACAGTATTTAATGCATATAATTATGTGTGCTATAAAAGTTGATATTAAATGTACAATTTAAGGGCACTATATTGATAGACTTTGTATTGTATTGTACATTTTTATAAAGTATTAATATTTTGTAAAGACATTGTATTGTAAATGTTAAATTTGAATTTAATAAAATATTTAAATTTTTTAAGTGAAAATGCATTTTATTGATAAACTTGTTGTGAAAAATGTCTACAATTTATAAATAATGAAATCAATTGTCACATAATATGCAATGAATATAACAGTAATAAACTTTTAGATATGGGTTTAAGAAATAATTATATAAAATGGGAAACATTTCTAATCATTTTCATTGTGTAAATCATCGGCGGCCTCGACTCGAGTGGAGAAATGAGAACCAATGGCCGACTTATCGAAACCCCAGGCGACGGCTGAGGCGCCCATTCCTATGCCTCCCAAACCCGCGTACTTAATAGCGGTTCCAGTTTTGGCCACTTTAGCACCCGTTCCGCCAATCAGTTTACCGCCGATCAGTAGTCCGGTTCCCAACGCCTTGAGGTGAGCGCCGGCTATGATTGCAATCGGTTTCATAATTATTCTGCCGGCGGTATAGACGCCCGCCTTCGCCACCAAAAGCCCTTTTGTGGCCAAACCAACGGTTTTCGCCTTCAATCCAATGGCACCGGCTTTCAGACCAAGAGCTCCGGCTTTGAGGACTCCGACAGCGTTTTGCAGTTTTTGTGTGTCTTTTTCAAACTCAATCGATCCCTCGTTTTCCAGTTGTGCCGAGTCTTCAATTACCAGAAGTTGAGACAAGTCTCCCAAATGTCCTGCCATTTGATTGCCGCCCACTTTCAGGTTTTCAAAGTTTCCGATACTTCCGAACGACTGTTTCAATCGGTTGGACACCAATTGGGGAACCGATTGAATGTTTTGAAGGACCAGATGTGGGACAGCCATCAGTCCCGCCGTCTTAGCGGCGGCCACACCGGGAAGTGCCACAGCTTTCACGATAATCGGTGTAGCGATGGCTGAACTCACGGCCGCGCCTTTGATGCCGGCGCCCGCAGTAATCGCACCGCCGATGGCTTTGGTCTCAGCGCTCACTTCGTGGGGCAGTTTCGCGGCGCCGATGAAGGAGTCTTTGGACACTTCCAACAGATGACTCGCGTGAGCGCCACCACTGGTGCCAAACACAGACACACCCGACAGTTGGCCAACATTTGACTTCAGGTTAACGGCCGGCGCCGCCGCAGACAGACTGTGATCGGTCTCGACGTGAAGGGATGGCAGCGATAAGTGATCCGATTTGAAGTCCAACGATGACAGCGACGGCAGCGAAGGGATGGCCAAATGGTTTGACGACTTGAGCTCAGAAATGGTCGACAAGTGATCCAAAGTGTTGTCCATTTTATCGGTGATGTGCGGAGACATTAGAATTGACGCCATTTTATTCAAACCAATGTTGGATTCGCTCAATAAGTCGTGCGTTTCTTCGGCCGCCGGCTCTTCCACTGGAGCCCCAAATGTCACACCAATTATGGCCACAATTATTGCCAACAGTTTTACCATTTTGTTTGCTATTAATTAAAGTAAAATATAATTAATATTTTTGAAAAATGATTGAATTAAAATATAATTACATTGTTTTTGAGTCGTTGATTGAATTTTAATAATATGTATAAATAAAATCAATGAATGTATAAATAAAAACTGAAATAAAAACTTTTTAATTAAAAATAAGTAAATAGTTTTAATTGAGAGCTAAATCGATACTGAATGAAATCTCTGTGAAAACCGGGTCTTATATACCATGTATTGACTCATTTTCACCAATAATTTCCTACCATTAATTCAATACAACATTATTCAAAACCAATGGTTTCTAGTTTTATACATGTATTGATTGGAAATTTACTTAACTATTAATTACTAAAAATAATTTACCATGTATTTGACTCATTTTCACCAATAATTTTTACCCACAAAATGCCAAATTATATTATAATTCAATCACTTTTCAAAAATATTAATTATATTTTACTTTAATTAATAGCAAACAAAATGGTAAAACTGTTGGC